GATCCTCCCACCTCAGCCTCACCAGCAGCTGGGACCACAGGCCTGCACCACCATGCCCGGCTAACATTTGCATTTTTTGTAGAGAGGAAGTCTCACTATGTCGCCCAGGCTAGTCTTGACACCTGGGCTCCAGCGATCCCCGCGCCTCCACCTCCCAAAATCCTGGGGATTACAGGCTTGAGCCACAGTGCCCGGTGAGACCCCATCTCTTTAAAAGAAAAAAAAAGTTTTGGCTGGCTGGGTGGCTCAGGCCTGTAATCCTAGCACTTTGGGAGGCGGAGGTGGGTGGATCACCTGAGGTCAGGAGTTCAAGACCAGCCTGGCCATCATGGTAAAACCCCATCTTAAAAAAAAAAAAAGAAAAAAAAGTTTTTAAATTAGCCTGGCGAAGAGGCAGGTGCCTGTAGCCCTAGCTACTTGGGAGGCTAAGGTGTGAGGATCGCTTGAGCCCAGGAGTTTTAATGCTGTAGTGAGCTATGATTGTGCCAGGGCACTCCAGAAGGGGCCACAGAGTGGGATCATGTCTCTAAAAAATTAATTTTTTAAAAAAGCAGCACAGTAAACACCTAATATTTGTTGAGTGAATAAATATATGAAAACATATACAAAAAATTAGCTGGGCATGGTGCTGTGTGCCTGTAATTCCAGCTACTTGGGAAGTTGAGGCAAGAGAATCACTTGAACCTGGGAGGTGGAGGTTGCAGTGAGCTGAGATCATGCCATAGCACTCCAGCCTGGGCTACAGAGCGAGACCCCATCTAAAAAAAACAAAATAAAATTAGCTGGGCATGATAATGCATGCCTGTAATCCCAGCTATTCAGGAGGCTGTGGCACAAGAGTAACTTGAACCTGGGAAGCAGAGGGTGCATTGAGATGAGATCATGCCACTGCACTTCAGTGTGGGTGCCAAGAGACTCTTGTCTCAAAAAAAAGACAGAGGTTACAGTGAGCCAAGATTGCACCACTGCACTCCAGCCTGGGCAACAGAGTGAGACGCTGTCTCAAAAAAAAAAGAAAACAACCAATCAGATAATTTTTTTTTTTTTTTTTTTTAGATACCATCTGTCACCTAGGCTGGAGGGCAGTAGCGCGATTTTGGCTCACCGCAACCTCCACCTCTTGGGGTCAGATTCTCCTGCCACAGCCGCCTTAGTAGTTAGGATTACAGGGAATTGCCCCCATGCCCGGCTAATTTTTATGTTTTTAGTAGAGACGGGGTTTCACTATGTTGGTCAGGCTGGTCTTGAACTCCCGACATTAGGTGATCCACGTGCCTTGGCCTCCCAGAGTGCTGAGATTTACAGGCATGAGTCATCAAGCCTGGCCCCAATTAGATAATTTTTTTAAAAATTCTAGCCGGGTACGGTGGCTCACGCCTATAATCCCAGCACTTTGGGAAGCCGAGGAGGGTGGATCACCTGAGAACAGAAGTTCAAGACCAGCCTGACCAACATGGAGAAACCCTGTCTCTACCAAAAATACAAAATTAGCCAGGTGTGGTGGCACATGCCTGTAATCCCAGCTACTTGGGAGGCTGAGGCAGGAGAATCGCTTGAACCCAGGAGGGGGAGGTTGTGGTGAGCCAAGATCGTGCCATCACACTCCAGCCTGGGCAACAAGAGCAAAACTCTGTCTGAAAAAAAAAAAGTATGAAAAAAGGAAAAACCTCAAAATCTACTTTATTGTTGCACTAAAGAAACTACTCATGACCGGGCGCGGTGGCTCAAGCCTGTAATCCCAGCACTTTGGGAGGCCGAGGCGGGTGGATCACGAGGTCAAGAGATCGAGACCATCCTGGTCAACATGATGAAACCCCGCCTCTACTAAAAATAGAAAAAATAAGCTGGGCATGGTGGTGTGTGCCTGTAATCCCAGCGACTCAGGAGGCTGAGGCAGGAGAATTGCCTGAACCCAGGAGGCAGAGGTTGCGGTGAGCCGAGATCGCGCCATTGCACTCCAGCCTGGGTAACAAGAGTGAAACTCCGTCCCCAAAAAAAAAAAAAAAAAAAAAAACTACTCATAAAACTAATTATTGCTGCACTATACACAAGATCCTTTCTCAGAACTCAACATGTATGTAAAGCTTCCATTTAGAGTTAGCTAGGCCTGATTAAAATGGAGTCATGGCTTGCCCCCTCAGATTATTTGAGGAATGAATAAAGTATAGCTAAAATGAAGTGTGTCAAGGTCCAGGAAGTCACAAAAAGTTTCTAGAGGCCCTATGGGAGTGATAGAGATTGAACCAAAGACTGTGCAAAATGTTTATTCTATCCAATTTAGAAAGTCTGACTTCAGGGCTGAGTTACATTGCTGCCTCTTAAACACGGGGGTACTTGTTGTGAACAATGCTGATGCTATGTGGGTGGCAGATTTAAGAATATCTAGAGAGGAGCTGAAGTATGCCCCTCTTTACAAGTACTCCTCTATTCTCCTGAAGCAACCATTGTTAAAGTCGCCCACCCTTCTTTGTGATTAGGTATATTTTTTTCCTATGACAGTTCCTATCACCTTCATTCATTGTACTTATTACTTATTGCCTTTTTTTTTTTTTTTTTTGAGATAGGGTCTCACTCGCATCACCCAAGCTGGAGTGCAGTGGCAAGATCAACAACTCATTGCAGCCTTTACCTCCCAGGCTTAAGTGATCGTACCACCCCATTTTTTTATTTTTTGTAGAAATGAGTTCTTACTATGTTGCCCAGGCTGATCTCAAACTACTAGGTTCAAGTGATCCTCCCACCTCAGCCTCTTAAAGTGCTGAGATTGCACAGGTGTGAGCCACCACACCCAGCCTATAATCTCTTTTGATTGGTAATTTTATTACAAAAAAATAGCATAGTAAGCACTACGAAAGTGTGGGGTTTTTGATTTTTAGAGACAGGGTTTCACTCTGCTGTCCAGGCTGGAGTGCAGTGCAGTGGGATTACCTGTAACTAACTGCAGCCTTGAACTCCTGGGCTCAAGCCATTCTGCTTGTTTCCCAAGTAGTTGGGCCTACAGGCATGAGCCACCTCACCTGGCCAAGTTTTTATATTGTTTTTAAGTACTTCACAACTACTCTGAGATAGGTGTAATTAACCCAATTTTTATAGGTGTGGAATTTCATGTACTGACAGGATAAATGAGTTGCCCAACATCACAAGTAGTTGAGCCAGATTTGACTCAAGAAGTCTTGTATCCAGAGCCACACTAAACCATTAGACCACATTTTTACAGAGAACATATCCTTTAAATTGAATATATTTAATTTTATGTAAAATACACAGAGCTGTCCTCATTTTTATTTACTTGAGAACTGACAAAAACTATTTTGGACTGGCATCAGGCCATAGACCAGGTCTCCAACACATATTTAAAGAGCCTTTCCCTGGCCAGGTGCTGTGGCTTACACCTGTAATCTCAGCACTTTGGGAGGCTGAGGTGGGTGGATCACCTGAGGTCAGGAGTTCTAGCCCAGCCTGGCCAACGTGGTGAAACAGTCTCTACTTAAAAAAAAAAAAAAAAAAAAATCGCTGGGCATGGTGATGCAAGCCTGCAACCCCAGCTACTAGGGAGGCTGAGGCAGAATAGCTTGAACCCAGGAGGCAGAGATTGCAGCAAGCTGCGATTGCACCACTGCACTCCAGCTTGGGTGAGAGACTAAGTCTCAAATTAGGGAAGGTGAAAGGGCAGAAGGGAGTTTCCTGTGGCCTAACATACCCAATACAAGGGCTATAGGAGTTATGAGCCAAAACTGTGGGCAAAGAACTGCAACATCAGAGTGACTAAGGCAGATTACCTAAAATTATGCGTGAAACCATCCTCAGGTACACTACAAATATCAAAGGCGTATTTCTAGATATGCTATTCCTGCATTTGTGTTAATATACTCATGGGTGGTTCCTGCATGCCAAACCACTCACTAGAGATTAACTGGCCAGTGATTTAAACTCCTTACCTTAAGTATGCACTTACACCAGTTCTAGTGCCAGAAAACATTTCTCTATTAAAAACCTAAAAAAAAAAAAAACAGGGGTCCCCACACCACTCCCAATTTTGTGCCAAGATGAGAATCATTTACTTACTACAGAAGACAGTGAAAAAGACTGAAAACTTTCTTAGTATACCCTTACTCCTTCAAATGTTTTCTATTAGCACTGTGCCTGTATTGCCTAGCGTCCGTTGGCACAGAAGCCCAAGAACCGCTTATGTTGCCAGACTTACAAAAGGCTAAGCATTTTTTGCTGCAATCTTTTTCACAATAATGTTAAGCTGTTAGTCATTAAGAACCAACAGTCATAAAGAACCAACTTTAATTTGCTGCTAACTCACCAAGATTAGGAAGTTGTCTTAGATCACTATACCATTTTAAACATTAAGTAGCTTCAAGCAATCTTTCTCCTCAGCCAGTCGTCTTTCATACTCAGTGATTAGCTGCTTCTTGGCTCAGGGGTTAAAACATGCACAGCACAGACAGGATTATGGTCCCATTATTATTACCCAGGTTGAACACTTCGGTGTTAATAAACTAGAAAGCAATAAACACACAGCTGATAGTCACCCAATAACCGCAGAACTGAAAGCAGTTACCACTATTTAAGCAGCCTCAACCAAAACTTTTTCTCCAGCAATCTTTCATTAGTTTAGATCTAAGCAAGCACATTTGCTTTCCTTCAATGTAAAAACATGCCTGCAATCACTTGAGCCCAGGAATGATAAAGGGAACTATGATTGTGCCACTGTACACAAGCCTGGACTGCAGAGAAAAACCGTCTTAAAAAGCCCGCATATCCAATAGACTTTAAGTTCGAGCTTCAGAAACTCTGCCATTAATCGAGGATCCTAACTTGTAATGACTTACAGAAAAGAAAGCTCTCACTCCTCAGCACACCCAAGTGTATACCAGACTTAACTCTGGGCACATTACCAATCTCAAAATTAAATCCCTCCCTCGACATCATTTTCACCAGTTTTAAGAGTACCTAGACGTCACTACAGAATTTCATGACAAGACACCAAGTATGCTACCATGCAACAAAACCTTTATTAACATTCTGAACAGGTTCAGCTATTACTGAAACTTGTAACTTCTAAACTTAAGTTGGGGCAAATGGCTATAGTGCAGAGTATTGCCATCACTGGGCACTGCGAATGCAAGACTGAAGAATTAACAGCCACCCCTCAGACGCAGGACCAGGTGCAGGGTCGACTCTTTCTGGATGTTGTAATCAGAAAGAGTGCGGCCATCTTCCAGCTGCTTGCCTGCAAAGATGAGCCTCTGCTGGTCGGGGGGGATGCCTTCCTTATCCTGGATCTTGGCCTTCACATTTTCGATGGTGTCACTAGGCTCCACCTCCAGGGTGATGGTCTTGCCGGTCAGGGTCTTCACGAAGATCTGCATTTTGACCTAGCTTAAAATAAAACATAAGCATATCATCATCTTTGTATTTCTTGCTTTTACATCTAATGTTCTTCAAAGTTAGTAACTATTCCTCCAAAATGTCTTAAAATACGTTAACATCTTGTAAAACCTCCCCCTATCTTTACGAGACTTAGTCACTTAATATGAAATTCGTCCCTCAAGGTTGCAACGTCAACAGCGGAGAATCCAAAACGCTCTCTAAACAAGCATCGACAGCTTTCTCCACTTACTGTTCCGGATATTCAAACTCCCCCGACCGAACTCCAATATGCCTCAAACGTAAGCATGGTGTTCAGTAAACTGAAAACAAAACCGAACCCACAAGACTCGCGAAATAAAAATCACGTTGAAACATAAGAAAGGACACCTTTCTCACACTGGGATTCCCGAAGTAAAGGTTTCCAGAACCACACAGACTACCTTTTTTCCGCCTTCCCCTGCTGAAGCAAACGCGACGGAATCGCCATCCGTTAAGCGTCCGTTAGTCTCCGTCGGCGCGCGCGCCCGCCAGCCGCCCTCACCCTCCTCTCCTCAAGGCCCACTCTCCCGGAAAGGCCCGGCGCCGCGTCACCTCGCCCTCCCCTCCCCCCACGCCCTCCCCTCAGCGGCCCACCAAGCACCAAGAAGCTTCCACCTTGACCTCACCTATGCCTCCTCTTCACGTTCCCCCAGGTCGTTAAGGCTGTGGGCCAGTACCTGTTAGAGGATACGACGATGCCGCGAATCGCCAATCACGTCCGGCCACTGAAGTCCAAGACACCTTCACCCAACAAAGCCTCTCGCCCCTAAACGCTCCCTTTCGGCGGAGCTCAAATTTATGCAACGTATGTTGCGTCACTTATCACTTTTTACGTAGGCGCCGTCTCCGTGCGCCGCCAAAAGTAGTTCGCCGCGCCCAACCTCCCGCGACGCAGTTAGGCTTTTCAACTGAGCTCCAAATTCCTCATAGTCGTAACAAAGGATCCTAACAAATTATGTCCCTTCCCTTCTATGCGCTTCTTTTCCTTCTTTAGGAAAATATAAGAAAATTATCAGGCGGATGAATTCGAGTTAAAGAAACCTTCCTCGAAAGCTCTGGAAACTTCCTTGCTGCGCCGGCGCTGATTGGTTAGGCCTGCGACGGCGAAGCCGGCGCTGATTGGTGAGGGACACAGCGGCTCTGTTGTTGCTGGGCTCCGGATGGTGGGGGTTTAGCGCCGACGTTGCTAAGTAACTGAGTGCGCGTGCGCCGCAGAGGCGCGCCTTCCCAAAAGAAGGGATACTTCCGGCGGGCGGAGGAGGGGTCTTTCTTTCTTTCTTTTTTTTTTCTGAGACCGAGTCTTGCTCTGTCGCCCAGGCTGGAGCGCGGCTAACTGCAACCTCCGTCTCCTGGGTTCAAGCGATTCCCGAACACAGTCGCCCGCCACCATGCCTAGCTAATTTTTGTATTTTTAGTAGAGATGAGGGTTCATCATGCTGGCCAGGCTGGTCTGGAACTCCTGACCTTGTGATCCGGCCACCTCGGCCTCCCAAAGTGGTGGGACTACAGGCATGAGCCACCACAACCGCGCCCGGCCTTCTTTTTTATTATTTTTATTATTTATTTATTTATTTTGAGATGGAGTTTCGCTCTTGTTACCCAGGCTGGAGTGCAATGGCGCGATCTCGGCTCACCGCAACCTCCGCCTCCTGGGTTCCGGCAATTCTCCTGCCTCAGCCTCCTGAGTAGCTGGGATTACAGGCACGCGCCACCATGCCCAGCTTATTTTTTGTATTTTTGGTAGAGACGGGGCTTCACCATGTTGACCATGATGGTCTCTATCTCTTGACCTCGTGATCCACCCGCCTCGGCCTCTCAAAGTGCTGGGATTACAGGCGTGAGCCACCGCGCCCAGCTATTTTTATTTTTATTTTTTTATTTTTCCAGACGGAAATAAAATTATCAGGCGCATGAATTCCCTAATAGTTGGCTCTTGTTGCCCAGGCTGGAGTGCAATGGCTCAATCTCGGCTCATCGCAACCTCTGCCTCCCGGGTTCAAGCGATTCTCCTGCCTCAGCCTCCGGAGCAGCTGGGATTACAGGCATAAGCCACCACGCCCAACTAATTTTTTGTATTTTTAGTAGAGACGGGGTTTCACCATTTTGGCCAGGCTCGAACTCCTGACCTCAGGTGAGCCACCTGCCTCGACCTCCCAAAGTGGGCCGCCGCGCATCAGAAGCGGGACCCGATGTCGCGACACCTGGTGGTGACTGTGAAGCACAATTTCCCTTCCCACGTCTTATAACACGCGCACCCCTGGTTGGTCCTGGTGCTCGCGCCTGTAATCCTAGTACTTTGGGAGGTCGAGGCGGGTGTCACTGCGTCAGGAGTTCAAGACCAGCCTGGCCAAAATGGTGGTCTCCACAAAACCCCCGTCTCCACAAAAAATACCAAGAAAATTAGCCAGACGTGGTGGTGGGCACCTATAATCCCAGCTGCTCGGGAGGCTGAGGCAGAGAAGTGCTTGAACCCGAGAGTCAGAGGTTGCACTGAGCCGAGATCATGCCACCGCACTCCAACCTGGGAGAAGTGAGACTCTGTCTGAAAAAAAAAAAAAAAAAAATATGTGCGCCCCTCACACACTGGCCAATTGTTTTTGTTTTTTTGAGACAAGGTCTGGCTCTGTTCTCCAGGCTGGAGTGCAGTGGCACGACCACCGCTCACTGCAGCCTCGACCTCCCATGCCCAAGTGATCCTCCCACCTTGGCCTGCCAAGTAGCTGGCACCACCTGGCTTGTTTTTGTTTTTGAGGGGGAGTCTGTCTCCGTCACCCAGACTGGAGTGCAGTGGGGCACTCTCACTGCAACCTTTGCCTCCTGGGTTCAAGCGATTGTCCTGTCTCAGCTTCCTGAGTGGCTGGGATTACAGGCATGCGCCACCAGGCTAATTTTTATATTTTTTAGTAGAGACGGGTTTTCACCATGTTGGTCACGCTGGTCTCGAACTCCTGACCTTGTCATCCGCCTGCCTCACAAGGGGGATCCCAAAGTGCGGGGATTACAAGCATGAGCCACCTTGCCCAGCCTAATTTTTGTTTTTTTTTTTTTTTTTTTTTTTTTTTTTTTTTTTTAGATCAGGATCTTGCCGTGTTACCCAGGCTGGTATTGAACCCCTGGGCTCAAGAGATCTGCCTGCCTCAGCCTCCCAAAGTGCTAAGATTACAGGCATGAACCACTGCACCCGATGGACTAGCTGCTTTTTATTTGTGTTCATGGTTATTGCAGGGTTATGGAGCTTTAAATCTTGCTTCTGTAGTTAGTGTGCTCTTAGTTGCATTGTCTTAATCCTCATCATGGCCCCAAGGACATTCTGTAAATCTGGAGTTCAGAGTGGGACACTCGGCGGGGACTGGGCACCTGTTGCAGAAGCTGCTCACCACCAGGCCCAGAGAGGTAAGGCTGGAGCCAAAGGTGACAGTGGCCGAGCTTCGCCCTGGCTCCAGCAATACCTGCAAATCTCCCTGCTGTTTCTCCAAACTGATAGAAAAAAAAAAATGTAGATTAGGGAGCTGAAACCCGCTTCAAGAAATGGGAATTCACCTATAAGAAAGTAGCTGAGCTTTTCACGTTTCGCGAGGGCCGTATCGCGGGTCTCTCCTTGCCGCAGTGCGCCAGAGCAGAGTACGAGTCTGAGGCTGAGGGAGTCATGGCAGGACAGGCGTTTAGAAAGTTTCTCCCACTCTTTGACCGAGTATTGGTTGAAAGGAGTGCTGCTGAAACTGTAACCAAAGGAGGCATTATGCTTCCAGAAAAATCTCAAGGAAAAGTATTGCAAGCAACAGTAGTGGCTGTTGGATCGGGTTCTAAAGGAAAGGGTGGAGAGATTCAACCAGTTAGCGTGAAAGTTGGAGATAAAGTTCTTCTTCCAGAATACGGAGGCACCAAAGTAGTTCTAGATGACAAGGATTGTTTCCTATTTAGAGATGGTGACATTCTTGGAAAGTACATAGACTGAAATAAGTCACTATTGAAATGGCATCAATGTGAAGCTGCCCATTCCACTGAAGTTCTGAAATCTTTCATCATGTAAATAATTTCCATATCTCTCTTTTATAAAAAACTAATGATAACTGATGAAAAAAAAAAAAAAAGTAAGTAGCTGAGGGGGAGTGTCCCTACCTTCTTGTATCTCCTCCCCACAACAACTTGCTTTTGTTGTACCGTCTTTCAATAAAAAGAAGCTGTTTGCTCTAAAAAAAAAAAAAAAGAAGAAGAAGAAGAAATTTGCTGTTACTGCTCCCATTGACGTGTTTGTTGTGCCAGGGTGGGGTTTACCAGCTAGGACCAAGCGACTGGTTTCCCTACACCCTGGGTGTGGCCACTCGTCCTGCAAGGAGATAACCCATGGAAGGTGAGTAAGGCAGACGTGTTTGGATCCTGGTGCCTGGCAGAGTCACCCAGGTGGGGTTGAAGTAAATAAGAAATTGGCTGTTTTTCATGTGATACCAACCTTCATATGTAAGAAGTAGTCTTGAAGTGTGTGTATTAATACAATTAAGTAAACATCACTTAGAAAGGTCACTAATTGCTGAATTTCAGCATATCTGAGCATAACATTAAGAAACTGTTGACAGATGAGCTGGTATATGAGTTCAGTTAAATTAACTAAAACCGGGATCTACTGTCTACTGACGTGGATAGAAAGAAACAGTTACAATAAGTTGGAAGTGATTTTGAAGGACTTGGGAGGTAGTTTATAAAACGTTTATTTTATTATACAAAGTATGGATTTTCCTTTTTGTTAGCCTAACAGTGATTCTGCATTTGTGTTACCAGCCAGCAGCTCCTCCTGAATCATACATGTTGATCACAGATTGAGCTAGAAGGCGGATCTCATGACTGGTGTAATGACTTCACTGGGAAATTCTAGCAGTTGCCAGAACTATATGTTAGTCATACAGGCTCCTGGTTCAGTGTTTTCCCAAAGTAGGTCATTTGTAACCTAAGATCAGGAATTTGGCAATCTGCCACAATACTTGGCACTGTGCTCAATAAATGTTTGTTCAGTGACTAAAATGCAATCTTTTCTTGTTCAACTGGAGAAAAGAAACTTTGTGACAGCCTTAAAACAAAAAGCAAAAAGACAGTGCAGTACTGTATTTCATCTCCATAGGCAAATGCGATTTGCCTTGGCAGTTCCTTCACAAGAAACAAAGGAGGATTGATTCTGAGATTATTTTTCTGTTTTTTTTTTGAGACAGAGTCTCACTCTTGTTGCCTAGGCTGGAGTGCAATGGCACGATCTTGGTTCACTGCAACCTCCGCCTCCTGGGTTCAAGCAATTCTCCTGCCTCAGCCTCCCAAGTAGCTGGGATTAGAGGCATGTACCATGCCTGGCTAATTTTGTATTTTTAGTAGAGACGGGGTTTCTCCATGCTGATCTTGAACTCCTGACCTCAGGTGATCTGCCTGCCTCAGCCTCCCGAAGTGTTGGGATTACAAGCGTGAGCCACCGCGCCCGGCTGATTCTGAGATTCTAAGTGATTTTACTTGGCTAGATGTCATTTAATAAAAATCTGTGAGAAAGCTATAGTTCCAGTTAAAAGTTCGCAGTTGTTTTCTTGACATTGTTAGGTGATGTTTAAAATGCGGACTTAAGTCTCTGGATTGTCAGTTCCTTTACTTTATATTTCACATTTGGCTATTTATCTCAATACAATTATGTAATGAACTCCTAATTTATTTATTACAAGCAAGTTAGAAACTTTGATATTGAATGCTCAAATGCACACAGAGCAAAATTTTGTACTGTCTTCATGTTAGGTCTCAAAAGTACAGAAATCTGTCCATTAAAAAATAGCTACTTCGGCCGGATGTGGTGGTTCACGCCTGTAATCCCAGCACTTTGGGAGGTTGAGGAGGGTGGATCACGAGGTCAGGAGTTTAAGACCAGCCTGTCCAAGATGGTGAAACCCCATCTCTACTAAAAATACGAAAACTTAGCCAAGTGTGGTGGAGGGTACCTGTAATCCCAGCTACCCTGGAGGCTGAGGCAGAGAATTGCTTGAACCCAGGAGGCAGAGGTTGCAGTGAGCTGAGATCTCGCCACTGCACTCCAGC